TCGTCACCTTCTTTAGAGTAAACTGTTGCTCCGACCACGGGAGTGGTTCTACAACTATTTGTGAGATGAAGTTGAGACACACACACAGAGGGAGAGAGAGAGACGAGTGAAAAGGAGTTGTGTTAGTTTTGAAGTGATTGAAATGAATGCATTTGGATGTAAAGATAAAAAAGTCAGCATATAGCAAATGTGAGATGAAGTTGAGATACACACACAGAGGGAGGGATGGGGAAGACGTAGATGCATAGCGTTAAATGGAATGATGCATTAATGGATGAATGTATTGTGGTCGTAATAGGTGGTAAATTAATGCACCATGAACGGACAGGTTGATTCGAGTGTCAGTGTAGCTGCGCATGTGTAGAGGGTGGCACCACAAAGTCGTGTAGCAGGAGGGTAGTGGAAGGAGAGAGGTAGAGAAGGCGGTCTCAAGGAGGCACCTATGCCATTCACCCCATCACCTCGACAATTTTGACGAACGGATTCAAAGAATGAACGACTTGCCTACTGAAATGTCAATGGGTAGTAGTAGTTGTTGTTGCTGTTGCGTAAGGCTGGCGGAAATTAACTAGGAAAGTGTGATTGGCAACGCAGCAAGTGGGTAGAGGAGTAGTTGGTCAGGTCTTGGTGGCCACGAGCAAACAAGAGAGTGAGCGAGCGAGCGAGCGAGCGAGTGGAGCTGAACTGAGCAGAGATGGAGTGGAGTGGAGTGGAATGGAATGGAGTGGAGAGGAGTGGAGTGGTGTTGGAAGAGGCAAAATGGTGGGGAGAGGAGGATGGGGAGGACGTAGAGGCATAACGTTAAATGGAATGGTGCATTAATGGATGAATGTATTGTGGTCGTAATAGGTGGTAAAGAATGGGCGTTTGATAAAGAGGCGCTACACAACTAACACCAATAGGTAAGCAAGAAGGCACCGAAGACGAGGGTTGTTGTTAGAAGAAAGACTTAAATACGACGACGACGACGACGACGACGACGAGGAGGAGGAGGAGGAGAAGGAAGAGGAAGGGGTATTAAATGACGGTGAGGAAGAGATGCCACTGCACTACAACTCTACTACGGTGGGTGCTCACAGTCGGTGTGGCTTTCTCCTCTGCGCGTGCATTACTACAGCCATCTGGACACACACATACACACACACCTCTCGCCTTTAATTACCGTGTGTTGCGGGATTGTTGTTGTTATTGTTATTGGCGCAACAACCTCATGGACAGTTTATTACGAAGGCAGTAGTAGTAGTAGTAGTAGTAGTAGTTGCAGCAGTATGAGTTAATATGGGGCAATAGCTCGTATCTCAACGACACCTCAACGGCTGGTGAACCCTTCACAAAGCGCACAGCATTTGTCAGTGGTGTGTGTGTGCGTGGCCGCATCGCTGTCCTAAGTTAATTAATTTTACACAAAGGCGCTCCAAATTAA